TTTACCAAGAATGAGCTACCTTCTACCATCTAGAGTCCTGAGATGAGCATTCTGAGTAATGAGTTGGGCAAACTGAGACTTGTTCGTAATGATACTTTTTTCCCCCCTTATATTACGGCGATTTTTGCCTCCCTTTTTTGGCTAATTGGCCCTGCAATGATTGCTTGAGGCATGCTATCGCTCCCTGAGCTGAGCAAAGTTGAGACTTCCACCAACGTGCACCAAACGAGTGAGCGGATGAGAAGACCTAAGTTTCTGACCGCTAGATAATGTAATCTAGCGGTAATCTAGGTAATCATTTCAGACGAGAAGTGCGCTGGCTGACTGGCTTTGATACAGAAGGGACAAGTCTGATCGATGTCACCAGGATCGAGAGCTGACTTTAACAATGATCTTAGAATTGTTCCTGGTCGAGCATGGCAGATTGTAGTGATCCTAAGCAACTTGTTGAGCGAATAATGGCGATGAAATAAATCTCAGATCTCTGCGCGGTGGACTTTAAGGTTGAGTACTACGTCAGGTTTCTCTTCAAGATCCGCTGATGTCAATGAAGAGATTTCCAGAGATGGCCAATGAGATGACCTTTTCTTCAGCCATACCGATTCAATCCATATGATGGACCCAGCAAAAATACAATCCGCTGGGTACTCCTTACCGGGAACGAATTACCACTGTGCATCCGCTAATATCGGAATAAACTGGGTACGATTTCTAACGAATGCGTTACATCTGAGAGAGTTCGTCGACTCTGCGCTTCTAATTGTAATGCTGTGAATCGCGTTTCGCTATCAGTTGATGGTAATCCGTATCGCTGATAAAAACATCACTTTGTTGTGAAAGTTTGACGCAGGTTTTGTCTAGTTTTGAACAGAAGACGAAGTTTCATGATCTTCGAATGAGTTAATGCTTGATAATACGATCTCCATCGTCAACTCTGCTGTGGCACCTTTGACGCAAACAATTTAATTCATCTTTTAGGCGCAAAGTCGGCGTGACATATTTAACTGGTAATGAATATGGATATTAAATCCATAACTGTTGTTCTACCCTGCGTATGAGATATTTATATTTATTGCAGGTTTAAGGCTCGCACAAATAAATCTCACCAATAGCTTATAGGTACTTAAATATATCAATTTGAACTGAAACTTCTTAACCCGCGTCATGGATTTTCGATGATCGGCGTAAAACCAACTCAAAATCGTCACGAGAAAGGCTCAAGGCGCGGTGGGGGTAACCAGACCCCCGGAGACCCCCACCATCGCCGTTCACTGTGGCACTCCCGCCGTATGCGCTGACCGAGGTGAGGAAGCCACCGACCAAAGTTTTCTCTCTTTAAATGAAAAGAAAGAGATAAACACTAGAAGTTTCCCTTGCGTCGTGTGTAAGCTTTTATTACTTTCAGTAAAGCATCGGACTGATCATAATGCTTATTCATGAACTTTTATCAACGATCAGATTATAATTGTCACTCAATGATGTTATAGTGAAAACTGACTTTTCAATTGTAGCTTTTCAATTGTAACTTTTCAATCTAGTATCACCGATGAGAAGTTTGAAGCATTTCTCGATGGCGAAGAAGACAACGAAGAGACCATAATAATCGTCGATGATAAAAAAATCGAAGAGAATAGTCCAGCTTTTGGGAATATGCTTGGAGTCGGATTAAAGGCAAAAACATTTGTTAACAAAGATATGAAGAATAGTAAGTATAAATATTTGACTTTAACAGCCCAGTTGGACGACTTTTTAATCAGCAACAATTCGACGACTGTTGATGTAAAAAGAAATAGCTTGACTTGGGAAGCGTTCGTCTGTAGCTATGGAGACTTCAGAAACCCTCAATAAATGTAATGGTATTTTTGAAATTATTTCCAGTGAAACAGCTTTGAAAAACAATGGCTATAAGCGTAAATTACATTACAGGAAGGATGGCTATATGAGGTCCAATGGGGAGGTCTTTCATTATCTAAAGAAACATAATTACATATTTTCAAAGGTGATTGAAAGGTTCTTTGCATTAAGAGTATATAGGTCTTATCTGCTGACATTAAAAAAAATAAAGGAAATCGATCTCGAAATATCTCGAATGAGCCTAAGAATAAGACCGGTAAGAAGAAACCGACGCATCACCACGTCGTGGTAGCTACATCTCTAACATTCCAAAAGAATGCGTATGCGAAGCACGCGCGGACGATCTTGTGTTATAAAAAAAGATCACGTGTTGGAATCGGGAACATTGGAACTAGGTGAATATCTACGAATTCCCATTCTAGAGTTCCAAGTTCAAACTATTATTTTTGTTTAATAGGTATGTACCTATAAATTGCTAGGGGCATCTAAAGACTGCGACAAATCCGGATGGGCTTATTTATTGATAAAATGAGAAACAGTCTAGTGGAATGTTTCTTGCAGTCTAGTGGGCTGTTTAACAATAGTGTCGCCCATGAAACTGATAACAAAAAAAATCATCTTCGCTTTGTGGTTCTTAGTTATACGGATCTCCGTCTTTCGGACTGGTTCAAGTATTTCTTTAGTTTAACAGCTTTCAAAATTTCTCCCCGCGATGTAAGTGACTGTTTCTAGATTCTGAGTATAACCGTATCGGGAAAAAATCCAATGTCTTATGCACGAAATAACAATTTCACAAGGTCACCGGATTTGCAACTTAGTTACTCGATTAACGTTGTGAGGGTGATGTTGCAACCTGTCAATGGTTATACATTGGGAACTCTCTATAGTTAGGAGCTGTGATCTATTTCTGATTATTTGACCTCGAAATGATCGCGAACTCCTGGCGATTCTACAGCTAACGTGAAATCATTCGATTGTTAACGTATAACTTTTCGTAGATATTGACGTTGACATGCATCAGAAACAAGGTTAATTAATAATTCCATCGAAAAATGATGAAAGAAATTTCCAAAAGTAATATACATATGTAATATTTCATGTAGTCAATTAAGGGGTAAGGATTATACGTCACGCCGGGAAAAGACAACAAAACTTGTCTACAGTAATAATGTTGAAGATCATTTACCGATGGAGCGCATCGTTATTCTCTTTATTGATAATATCAACGATTTACTAGTAGTTGTCAAAGAAATCTGTGATGAGAGGAATGCACGTGAAGACGAGCAATACAAAGAAAGTAATACTTTTTAAAATTTATAACTGAGTTGATGATGTTCAAAAAGAGTATCATATGCGAAAAATATTCCAAACTTAATGGATACACCAGTGACTGAGGTACAATTTAAAATTAATACACGCGAAACCATTTTCAAAATAAAATACGTGTTATTTTTCTATAACTGCAATTTATTGTGTATCGTTTCTGAATATTCAATATTTCAAGTAGTTTCTCCCTAAGTTATAATTATAATCTAACTGCAACTACCACTTTTTCCTATCTCAAGTTTTTTTTAGATATTCAACATGCTACGACAAGTAAATATAAAAAAAAGGTTCTTACAATTCCAAATTTGTAGATATTTAGGCGTTTTGGTAGCATCACTATGAAGACGAAATGGGAACTACTATTATTCTTTGTGTAGAAATGATCATAATGAATTAATTTCATGATATTATCAAAGCAAATAATCCATATTCACAAGAGCTTTAAAAAATATTCTCATTGTGTAGAATGCCAATATAAAAAAAATAACAAACTCAGCATCAAAGTACAACTGTCGTCTGTGCCTGTAACTTTAATTGCGGAAGTTCCTCGAGCATTGTCCAAGAAGTTTAGCGTCAAGAAAGTATACTCCCCCGTGAACCACCGTCAAAGTTTTCCGCAGATCTTAGGTAGGAGTAGTGAAGTCACTTCTTCCATACAGTCAACTGGGATAGCCCACACTCCAAAAAGATAGGATTGTTCTGTAAACCTCTATGTGACACTCTCGTATACAAAACGTTATTTACTATGGGAACTGAGGATGGACAATATTGAGAATTCACTGGCCTGTTTCGACTTTTTTTTAGTCATATTTTGTATTTTTCTTTTTACATAACGTTGAGTAGGGGGTGTTCGTAAACCTACATGAGCATCCACCAAAATCAGTGAGAAAACTCAAAGAAATTAATCTCATTAATAGCCGCTCAGTTCGAACACTAAGGATGCAAAATTTACTTTAGCAATACCTCAAAATAATCAAAATTATGGAACAGAATAAGTTTAAAATGGGAGTAGCTCTACTATAATTGCACTCATAAATCATTCATAAGAAAATCAAAACCTTTAAAACAGTTTTTTTCTACCAAATGGAAGCCTTGTTTTTCTCTAAGAATTTATTCAAGTGGAAGATTGAAAGTGAAAGTCAATGATCAAAGAGGAAAGCCTTTGTTGAGAAGTTCAATATATGTAAAGGATAGTAGTCCTCATGATATTTTTCCTCACCGCCAACTGTCTATTAAATGGAAAGTGATACACTATGATCAACAATTTTATTTATCATTTTTTATTCAACAAATAATCAAGATGAAGACGAAAATGATAAGGATTCATCAACACTAAAATATTTGCCATGTTTTTGGGGCCATCGTAGACTACCGAAGTATTGGATTAAAGATTGGTAAGTACTGATACGCAAACTCCAATTAAATTTCAGCAACGTTTATAGAAAGCTCTATAATTAATCGACGTTATAATATCTTCTCAATCTGTTATTTCCATTTGGAAAAACACAAGATTTTGTATATAATATAATAAGAGTAAACGACTCGCACGTGATTTGCTTTCACGTCGATTGTCAGTTAATTCCTGCGTAGAATATAAATCAAAACGCCTCGCAGTTGACTCGGTCCTAAGTCGATTGTTGGTCGATTTCTATTGAGAATCTAAAAGCAAACGACTCGCAGTTGATTTGCTTTTAAGTCGATTGTTGGTCGATTTCTATTGATATAAAAGCAAACGACTGGCAGTCGATTTTCTTCCAAGTCAATATAGGCGGTCCATTCCCATGTAAAATTGTACCCCAAACGAATCACGATCGTCTTACCTTCAGGTCGATTCTCAGCCGATTGAAAGTATTTTCTGATAATTTACTGGCAATCGACTCCCTCTTCAGGTGATAGTCACCCAACTGCAATCGAACTAACATCGGGGATTGACTTCCAATCGTCTTCCCAGAAAGTCAATTTATTATCGTCTCTACCACTGGTTCGATATCGCAATCGATCATCAATCAATTGTCAAACAACAAACCGAATTGGCCGATTTCACAATCGGCCAGCAATCAAATGTTGAACGACTGCTCCAATGCCTTCCCGGGCCAGTTTTTTTCATAAATTAACCGCGTGGTTGAAGGTAAATGAAGACCCCTCATTGTTGGGCCCACCTAATCAGGAATAATAATGTTAACGTGAATGACGCGTTAACCACGGTTAACTTATCGAAAAATTGGTCCGCAGAAAGTATGTGTCACTTCATGGGTTGAAAATTGTGCTGATAAACAAGAAAGTATGATTGATCAGCTCTCATTTATTTTAATTACGAAATTACGGTGATCGACATCTGATATATGTACCCTAAAAGAATGTTAAATGCAATCAATTGCACAGCTCAATATAATCCCACAATAATCTCGGGGTTTCGATGCGTTTGTTGTTAGAATGCACATGCAAACGGATTTCCTATTGAATGCATATTCATACAAAAATTAGTGGAAAAAGAGTTCTTTTATTGATTTACAATCAAATGTGGGGAAAAAGTGAAAGAGGCTGAAATTCTCCTCTCGATTTCGTATAATATTCATTCTGTAAAATAATATTCACATAATGTTTTTATTTTTAAATTCGAATATAATATTTTCCATATAAGCGATTCTATGCCAAAAACTTCGACGTCGGAAATTATAATAAAAATTTTTTCTCCAATGTGAGTCTAATATTTTTGAGTATTTGGTAGTATTTCATTTGAATTTAAAGATTTTTTGTTCTTCGCGTTATTCCAGTATTCCTTCGACTTCTTAAAAATATTATAATATAATATTATGATCCTTCGTATCATTTCAGTATATAAAACCCTCGATAAAACCAGTTTCTTTTTTTATTAACTTCTCTCTCTTCATAACTTAACCTAACAAAACAAGGCGCATAAGTTATAAGCCCAGATATGCTCGAAGGAGTGAAATTAGCGCAGTCAGCTAAGCTCGCTTGCCCGTGTCGAAGTTGACTTTCTGGCGCGCAGCTTGGACGAGTCGGCCATCCGATACTCTATAAGTCACGGCCCAGCTAATATTTTTTATTAACATTCCTGAAGCGGTCAAATTTGACAAAATAACGGGGCGTGCTTCACCAAGAATATACGGAAATGCAAATGGTAGATTGTACTATATCAAGTATCGCCGTTTACTGACCAAAATTGTGACCGGTAAATAATCTTCTAAATACCACTCAAGGTCGAAAATGCATTACGAGAATCGTGTGAAGCTTTTCCAGTCAATTTCATGTGCAGATGCTCGGGATTTTGGAACTTGGGAAAAACTGGATACTGGATACAATAAATCCACCGCCAATAATACCGATCGGGAATATTCACATTTATGACGATATTCAATGAAACATTGACGAATCATGTATGAAATATACTCGATTGTTCAAATAATATATGTAATGTTCACAGAAGCATTTTAATTCTTTAAGCTATCCAAAGAAGAGAAGTAGTTTTTTCTGTAGAATCATTTTTTCCTTCTGTTATGTTTTATTCATATTGGCATACATCAATCTATCACGATGTAATGAATTTCATGAAAAATAAACCAAATACAGATTTTGGTATGTTATTTCATGGTAGAAAGTATTGGGATGTGACACATTATTGATTATCTGTCGTATCGCTTGGAAAAAGTAAAAGAAAAGTGTTCTCTGGGGAGCAGCCGCCGGATAGAATGTGATCATGGCCTGGCAGATACACGAGAACACTTTCCTAATCCCGATTCCGAAAGATTCGTCTAAGAGAAATTCATCTTGTCATGATTCGCGGCTTTTTGCATATTCTTCTTTTAGCTTTGATCATGCTAAAAATCTACGGAACCAATTTCATAATGAACTCTATATGAATATTGCAAATTTCTTTTGATGGTATCAGGCTGTCATTGATTGAAGTCTATTTTTCCAAGTGATTTAAAATATAGAGAGGCGAGAACGTGAGAAATCAGGCTGTCACTTCCTTCTATGATCGATGACCATATCGGGACGCGTAAGCGCACGCCAATGCTGCCTGACGTCAATTAATCCTTGCTCATCACCGGTTCCGATCTAATAATCCGAGACGATATCTCCAGGGACGATCTTGCCCCACCATGTTACACCACGCAATAAATATAATTATCTTTCACGTGACTCTACTTTAGCGAAGATTCTCCCCCCCCCCCCTCCCTCACTTTTCCCAATTCCCACTGTATCAATTCTCATCATTATTGTCACTATGCACCGAGGACAATTTTTTTTTTAAAGGTGTGCTAGATGCACCGCAGTAAGGGGGGAGGGGATCATTGTCGTAAATGTTCCAATCCCTGAATACAAAAAAGTTGAATTTTTAATTACCTAACTGACATTAGAAATGGTTTGGGAATGTATTTAACAATTTTTTAAATAATAAAAATTCATTCCACAGCAGAGGGAGCGTCGCTGAGTAGAAAATTGACAACTAAATTTATATATTAATGTATTTGAGTGAGTGTTATTAATAATGTATATGAGTGAATAGACAAATTTGGAAAATAAAATATTAAAAAAAATGTTAGAAAAACAACTTCTGTCAAGAAATTATGTACCTGCTTCAAAAATGATGACAATTTATTCATAATGAAGATATGATTTCTCAAACATAGCCGAACCTGAGTGAATATACTCACAAGTTTTCTTTTCTTAAATCCAAAGAATTTCAAGGTAACCATCACTTCACTTGGTTCGAGAAGTCGCTTTCCTATTTCGAATCAATTGCTCTTGGCTTTTCGGACAAGTACAAAATTTGTTAACTAACGTATTTTCTCTCAGCGCAGAATATCTTTGTGTGGGATATTTTTCGCGTGCGTGGTTCATAATAGAAGAAAGGAGGCTTCGCTGAATTTTTCTTTTCCCAGTGTGTATTAAATGAATATAAACTAAGATTCGACGAACAAATGATAATATCGCGTTCATGAATTATAGTTGAAATTGACTAAGAATCTGTCTGAAAATGTGTTGACAAGAACCAGTAGCTTTTAGAAAAGGGGATACTCAGTGACATCGAGAAAAAATCGCACAAGCAATTAAGTGCAATACTTTGCGGGTACAGACAACACTGGCACTTAAAGAGTCTTGTGGTATTTGAATCAGTTCTCCTCTCGATGCACAGGAATAGGTGAAAATGAATGAAAATAGATAAAACAAGGTTTACTGGTTGGCGACTCAGTGTTCTGGATGTTTTATATACGATACAAAACGAAATACAAGGAATAGCTATTTTTTTGTAAGTGTTCCGGAAATACCTAGCGCATCGACCTCCTGTCCAACTGGATTCCTCGCAAACGAAGGATGCTTCCCATCACCTTCGGGACATAGTTGTTTCAAAAATAGAATCATTCTCATTTGCTTTGCAGTATTCGCTACATCTCCATCCAAGATATTCGTTTGCAAATCAACTTTTTTCCTTTATTTTTCTGCTTCATATCTTCATTACCTGAATAAAAAGTTGAGTAACATAATCTACGGGTAATGATAACAAAAGGAGCAATTGGACTAAAGACGGCATTTAATAATGCAATTGAAAATGTGTACTTGACGTGAATTTATGCCTGCGTACACTATTGAGTTATCAAATGAGACAGATGTGATCTTGTGCTTCGGTGATTCTAAGGATCATTTGCCTGATTGTGACACTTCCAGCCATGCGATTTTTTAAGAAGATTTCCATTTTTTGTCTCATTCTCCCCGCCGATTCCCAAGAGATATATACATTTGAATTCATGTCGTCTCCCCTTCACTTACAGCCACTCAATCTTCGCGTGAAAATATTATAACCTATACGTTTGTTGGCACTCATACTTGAAAAAATTCATTGAAAGAAGACTTCAGACTTTTCAACATTTTTTCAAATATAGTATGTTTCAGGAATTATGTAAGTGAACATAGAATTTTCTTCCTTGGAAATTCATTGTTATGCATCCTTCGGACTATTTTATTTCATTTAGAAAAAAAAATGATCATAGACTTTGTTTATATCAACATCGTGTCCACATCGAAAGGTCTTGGTATAACAAAACTGATGGATCTGGAATTAATATATTTCTATACAATCATTTGCGGCTTGAAAAATTATTATAAAGTATGAAATTGGTTCTATTGGTTGTAATACCCCAAGACTATCAAAGGTATTGGATATTTCCGGACTAGTTATAGGCTTAGTCCTGCTGAAAACTCGGTTGGTCGGTTCTCGTGACAAAAAGCAGTGTTTGTCATATCCTATGAATAGTATTTTTCAGGCCTAGTTTTGGAAAACCGATCATCTTTCCTGACGTGCAAGATTGACATCCGAACTGAAGGCATTTCCTATGATGTAACTTTAACCTAATTTTGGCCAATAGAGGCCATGGGAAACCGCGATTCGCAGGCGCCACTCTGAGATAGGATTGGATAAGTTGATACTTTCAAAATTCTCAATCGATATGTCAATTCAGCGCTGTTTTTTTAATTTAATGATGAAATTTAATTGGACCATTGATTTTTCTTCCTCTTCGATTTTCAAATAATGAAAGAAAATATGGGTTCAGGTGTGAAAAAGTTCATGGAGTTTGAGTGAGAGTTTGCTTATTATTTCATATTGTGTTTGTGTATGTCCAGGATGGGCTGCATGGATGGTACCATTATTCTCACCAAAAAATTGCAGCTTATTCAGGTTATCCACTTTCTCAAAGGACCGAAGAAATATTCAACGTCAATATTTCGAAGTAGTACCGGTAGATATGTAGATGAGCCGTCTTACTCTCGATTTTAATAAAGTTTACAGGGATTATGCTCTTTATTGAAAATGTATGCTGTGCAAATTTTTCGGTGTAAGAAACGGTTGATTCGTTTTAGTAGTACTTTATCA